CTCTCACTTCTACCTGATACGATATTTGAGTCAATGAAGCGTGTCACGTGACAAAATCACCTTTTTAACTATTTTGATTTTTTTTATATCGCAGCAGCCGCGCAGGCAGAAGCTTAAATGCCAGTGCACCGCCGCTGCTGTGTGGAGCGTAGAGCTTGGACTGCCTAACGTTATTAGAACTAGGAAAAGCTTCCTCTTGTAGATTGTTCCACAATCTCGACACCCTCGGGACAAAGGAGCGTCGTATCGGCCGGTTCTAGATGTACGAAGTTCGACACGGTTAGGATGGGACGCCAAATTACCTAACTAGTAATTTGAATTTCTTTTTATTGATTATAGAGTACCGAGTCCTAGACCAAACCCTTTTTAAAGATTTTCTTTCATAGTTTATTGATTGCATAATTTCACACGTATTATATCTTTCGTTCTCAGCAATTCAGTATTGTGTTGAAATATTTTGGACTCTAATGTTATAGTTTTATTAACAACTATCTTCGAAATTTCCGCATAAACTATCTTTGGACCCTCGTAGAGAGTTGGCTCTGCCTACAGTCTGCCGATTGGCAACCAGCGTGCCACCTTGTAATTTCTACACGTACTAGCCGTATTTGAAATTTGATTTTCTATCAAGATACCTTCTTTACCGGCTTTTCTCCGTTCCTTTAGTACATGTTTATCTTGTTGCACTTCATTAATTTACTTTTCTTGTGAATGAGAATGTACATGTATTTTTCTTCAAGTTTTGAGTGTTTTAAATGAGTAGAGACTAGATTTTTATAAAGTCTTTCACTCTCTAGCGTTTTTTTATACCGTAAATTTTGGGAACGAGGTAAGCACGCCCTACCCTGTGTCGTACACATCATCCAGTTAAGTTTAGGTTTGGGCGTTAAAATATTTGTAAAGCTTGTATGTGTCAAGCCTTCGTACGTGTACCATGGTAAACGTTCTGCAGGGTTAATTAGCACGGTCTAATAATTTTATTGTTAGGTAGTTTTGAATAATATCCTTTCCTTTAATTTGCACTCCAGTGGTGGAGCATATGTGCTGCTTGTTTTAATAATATACTGATTCTTTTTTTTTAATATCTTGTTCTATTTGGCTCTCTGTGTACAATTAATTAGGTTTCATCATTACTGTTAGAGTCTTTTCTTTGTGTGGTGGTCAGGCAAAACAAGTTCCGACGGAGATTTGTGGCATAATCCGTCTTCACTTGACAGCTGTTTTGCACTGACCGAGCCTTAGATTTCATTTACAGTATTTTATTGATTTATTTATTAATTGAATAGAAAAAAGGAAAGAGGTATCACACTACCATTTTCTCTTGTTTATAAACAAAGGCGTGGCAAGCGATTACGATTGCGACTATCCGTAGTTTATGGTTGCCAGTCTTTAGTAGTTGAGACTGCTTCAGCCATCCTGACAGAGAAGAAGACGTCAGCCAATTAAGAGTAAGATCCAAATATCATAAAAGTTGTTCTTTAAGAGTCTGGGCGAACCTATTTCCCCTCTATTTCTAATAAATAGCAATGATGATATTAATGATATTCCTACCAGTAATTCTATCTTCAGTATTGCTACAATTTGTAGTGGGATATTAGAATAAATTGTACATTATCATTGCCAATTTTCCTACTCTACAAGATGGCATGATTAGAATTTCAATTTGAAGTTTCGCAAGGACGCCATATCGAATTTTGCACGGTTGAATAGAGTTTTCAATTCTGATTAACTGACATTGTCAAATCAAACGGCCAAGTCGGCAAATAATGGGAGCGCATTTTTTTTTGTTTGTTTAAGATTTACTTAGCATGATTGCTACAATTACATTTTTCTAAAAGAACTAAACAATGACATAACATACAAATATTTAGAAAAAAAAAACAAAATTTGCATCTCTAAGAATTTTCACTGGCCATGAATTATTCCTTTAATTTTCTTTTAAACATTTTTGAATTACAAGTAGACTTTATATCATTATTTAGTTTATTAAATTCAAGTATTCTTTTCTGAAATATTGATTTGCTAGTTATACTACTATTGCAATTTTGTAAACGCAAATCTATATTTCCTCTTGTATAACAATCGTGGTAATGATTATTCAATTCTATGTACTGTTCTAAATGTTTTGGCAAAAGAAGGAATAATAATTGTATCATAAACTATTTTCTTGGAATAGGTACCAAGACTATGAGAAGCCCTATAAAAGAGAAACCTATTCGCAATGTACCGCCGATCATTCTGATTTTCAATTATGGCTGTTAATGCAGGATCTATGGTGTCTTCCAGTAATTCCAAATACATTTCACCGGTCAAATTTCCAGTTAAGAAAAAAGGACCAACTAAATGATCGCCAAAAATACCAGCCCAAACATTTAATTTTTATGGCTGCTGTGTATGAACCTCATGATTAATTCTGGGATTAGAATCGGACCAATATCGGCAGTTATGACGATTTACTACGCCATTTAAGAAAAAGGAACATTCGTCGGAAAAGCAAGTGTTGAATAGAAAATGTTCATCGTTTATAATTCGTTCACTCATATCTTCACAAAATTGTAATCTCCGATCAAAATCGTCTTCATTAAGTTCTTGTACCAGGTGAATTTTATACGGATGAAAACTATGGGCCTTTAGAATTCGTTGGACAGTACGTCGACTAACACCACACAGTCTCCAATTTGCGGGTACTCAACGTAGGATCTACATAAACTTGCCCTAAAACCCCCACTTCTATTGCTTCGTTTCTTATGGGATTTTCAATGTTGAGTTTTTTATTAGCGACTGACCCAGTTTCCCAAAATTTAGCTACAAGTTCTAGAACATATTTTCGATGCACGTTACTGTTCTCATGTCCCTACATTAAATATACTAAGTGACATATAAATCCGAACACCCAGTTTAAATGGTTTTATTTTGATAAAACTTTGTATAAGTACTTAATGAAGCATAATAAGTAAATGATAAAAATTTCAAAATGATTGCACTGCTTTAAAGCCCTTTGACCTATAATAATGTGTGGATGCACCCTGATGTGCTACGCATTCTCCAACGCGCCTAGGCATGCTTCTGATCAGGTGGTCAATGTCCTCCTGTGGTATCTCATTCCAGGCAACCACCAACTCCTCTCGAAGTTCTTCTAGAGTCTGAGGAGGACGTTGCAAATTGAGCAATCTCCTACCCATCATATCCCACACGTGCTCAATTGGAGATAAGTCGGGAGATCTAGGTGGCCATGGTAACAATGTGACAAAATATGTTGAAAGAAGTCTATTGTGACTCTTGCAACATGTGGTCGGGCATTATCTTGTTGGAAAGTTGGATCTGCCAGGGTGTCATGTTACCTCTGATGAAGATTAAAGGTGACCTGGAACCATAAGCTATAACACACCAAACCATAACTCCAACAGTGTGATGAACATGTCTTTCAACAAAAAACTGTGGATTCCTCCTTTCACCACGACGCCTTCTAACCCTGGCACGACCATCGTGCATGCCTAAACAAAATCGAGACTCGTCACTAAAGACAATACTGTTCCATTCCTGATCCCAGAGTGACCGTTGTCTGCACCACTCAAGGCCATTACGTCGGTGTTCTCGAGTTAAAGGGAGGACCCAGTGTGGCCGGTATGAAAACAAGCCAAAACTTCTCATTCGTCGGTAAACACTTCGCATGCCAATAGGTCTTCCGTGTTCTGCAAACCATTCATTTGCAATGGACCTGGTAGTGGAGAAACGGTCCCTTAAGGCCAATAATCTTAGGCGGCGATCTTCACGGTCTGTTGTTCTACGGCGGCGTCCAGTGCCCCTTACTCTTTGTGTACGGCCTTCTCGAAGACATGCCTGACAACACCTAACCACAGTGTTTACACTTCTTTGCACTCTAACTGCAATTGCCCGAAAAGAAAGTCCAGCTTCCCGAAGTCCCACTATACGGCCCCTATCAAACTCACTAAGTTGACGAAATCGTACAGGTCTCCGTACTCTAGGCATCGTAACCGATCGTAAAGGATGTCAAGAACCAAAATCCGCCAACGTTGATCCTTTACTGCGGCTGAAATATTCATTTTTAGAGCGTTAGTGAATTAAAAAAAAGCAGTATAAAAACCGGAATGTCCAACTGATAAGGCTGAAAATTTTTTCATTTGTTATTTACAGTAAGATAAATACATTCACCAACTTTTATTAAAATAAAACCATTTAAACTGGGTGTTCGGATTTATATCTCACTTAGTATATTTCTGCTGTTCTATTAGCGCACTGATTATTTCCGAAAAATATTTCGATAATTTCAACTCTTTCTGCTGTGGAATATACCATGGTTAATTTATGTAATAAAGCGTTACAAGTTATTTTAGCAACAAAGTTTGGTGAAATCAATCGCAAGCTATGTACTAAATTCCTATTTAAAATAATACGAGATATTTCCTTATCTTTCTTCAAGAATTAACTTTTTTGCCACAAAAAAACGCTCCAATAACTATTTTCAACAACAAAATGATAAACAAACCATGGGCGTAGTGAAGAAAAGCATTTACTTATTAAGTAAATTCTTTTAGTCAAATTTCTTCTGAAAGTAGTACAAACTAATCTGATGTACCTATTTAAGTCTACTTTAAGCTTTAAATGAATAAATCTTCAAAACTACTGAACTGAAGCTCATGTATTTTACATCATTATAAAGGGAATTGAAAAACCTTTAAAATAAGGTATCACTCGAGCCCCCTCTCCATTTAAGATTTTAGGGTTGGTGTCACCCCCGCCCAGGGGGCTGCACGTGTTAACGTGATTTTTTTCAAACTTGTGTCCCCCTCGAAAACAAAATCAACGGGTCTGAGCGATTTCCAAAAAAAACTGAGCTGCCAGTAAATGCGTTTCGTTTTCGATGCGCCACCCTTTATATATAAATAGCAGGAACTTGTCAAATACGCAACTAATTGAAATCCCTTTGACTCGCGGCATTGGAAGTCGGCCTTAAGCATTGAACTATCAAAAAAAGACGGTTAGTCAAAGATATTATTAATATATTTATTTTACCACCATGTAACAAAATCTAAGGTTTTCTTTAATTTAGTTCAGCTCTGTTTCGTCAGAAGACGTTTCGTCAATAAACGGCAGCACGTCTTCAATCATGAAACATGTGGTGGAAGATGATATCTCGGAGACTGCCACAAATTTGTACTTGGAAGCCATTTCCATGAAGAGCATCATGTCAGCTACCATCAAAACAGCAAAAAGGAAAAACTCATGTGCCTAAAACAATAATCTTGATGATCTAAGGCTGGATGCAAAAATTCAAGTAATGACTATTGGGAGCATTTTATCCTATGAGGATTTTCGAAAATCTGTTTAAATTCAAGGATACAGGTCAAACAAAAATTCCGAAAAAAAGCGTCTTGAATAGTGAAAATCAGGTGTGAAAAGCACTTATCTACGAAAATTGTTTAAAATGTCTTCTGCCCACAGTCCACCAGACCTTCAAATATACCAGTGTCTTTTACAGGGTGTTACCTAATTTGATGTCAATATTCAAATAGGTAATTTTTGGGTTAATTTTAAAAAAAATCTACATATGAAAGGATGTTAGCGTAGTCATGTAGTCAGTAGAGTACGCGACATGTTCCTGTCAACAGTAAATAAGTAAACTGATTATTTACTCGATGTTTGCTAAAAAATAAACATTCTGTAATTTTATTTATGTTGTCAAAGAATTTATCAAGCGGAATTTTGCACAGCAACAGTGAAACACTCTTATCTTTGATAAAATAAATGAGATAAAAATGTAACTCAAAGTAAAAAGGTAACTAAACTTAAATATCTCGGAATTGTTTTAGACTCCCAACTTGAAACTTCGATTTCTGTTATATAAGTTCAGTTATTACAGACAAATTTTCTCAATTAAAAATTTTATATGAAACATTAGTTGAACACCACATAACCTATGGAATTATTATCTGGGGGCCCACGAATAACAAACATCTAAATTCTTTATAAATAATACAAAAATTATTTAGAAAAACAATGCATAACAAACCTTCATTATAACAAAATATTTGCTTATAAAATCAAAACTTTTGAATATAAAAAATTATTTTGGTATAATATTATATTAGGATTCCATAAAAACAAATATGCATCAATTTATGAAAGTTATGAACATGATACTAGAAATAAAAATAAAGAAATAATCATTGCAACACCAAAAAACGAAGTAATGTTGAAATCTTTTATATACTTAGGTCCAAAATTATATCATAACTACCAAAGTATATTAGACAAAACGAATGTCATTACTATTAAAAATAGATTTATATGAGTGGCTGTTCAATACTGATATAAAAAAGGTAGAATTTATAATAACTCTAACATATAAATATCTTTTTCGCATTACTAATCGATGATACAAAATCGATGTATTACATATACAGAGTGTCCAATAAGTACCATGGCAGACTTAAGGAGAAGGTAGGACTGACCTCCCAAATAACAAAAATTTACCTACCTATATAAGGTGTCAGCGGTTTTGCGATATTGATTTTTTTCTTAAATCTTAAAAAACGAACCTTTTCATCTGTAGTCTTTAGCTGCATGAACAAATAAGGTTATAATTTGTTCATTTTTTCTATGAAATACTTCTAGATAGTTGCTTTATCATATACAAATGCAATCAATGTAGTTAAAAGATATGAAGGAACCATGATAAAATAAGGACTGTTTTGGGATTTATAACCTGTATTGTTTCCTCAAATTTCATAAAATCATATCAGGAACAGGTAATAATAATGTAGCTTTGAACTATTTAGCATGTCCCTGATCGGTAACCAGTGCAACTTTAATTTAAATCCAATATTTACATTCTAGTGTGTGTCAGTCACTTACAAAAGCAGCTATCACTTTTTTCTATTCCAAATAGTACGTGTGGTGCCTTTCTGAAATCTGTATTCAATGAGCAATATTTTTATTCAATATAATGCAGTTATAGCCCAGTACATTTTTGTTTCACCACAGATGGTCAAAGTTGAGGAAAAAATATCAGAAAGTTATAAATACCAAACTAGTCCTTATTTGATCACGGTTCCATAATATCATTTAACTACATTGCATTTGTATATGATAAAGCAACTATCTAGAAGTATTTTATAGAAAAAATGAACAAAGTATAACCTTATTTGTACATGCAGCTAAAGACCACAGATGAAAAGATTCGTTTTTTTTTTAAATTTAAGAAAAAATCAATCTCTCAAAGACAGTTTTATTTTGGGAGGTCAGTCAAGAGCCTACTTTCTCCTTAAGTTTGTCATGGTACTTATTGGACACCCTATATACTATATAGATCTTTTCTAATCCTCATCAATTTACTGTAAAAAGTGTGTTATATGTGTTGGAATGCTATCCACACAAAAGGGTATTTTGCTTTTGTGACATATCAATTTACCACAATTTATAATTGATGTGGATAAATGGTACTATTATAAAATGCAAATCTAATATTGCTGTCTGCCTCATCAATCTAGATATTGTACCAGATTTGTGTCCATGCTTCGAGCATTACGCAAATTCTTATTTTTCATTGGTGTATTATATCGGGTTTTCCATAAGAAACTTATACTTTCACTGTAAACGCACCTTTAAAACAATTACCGAACTGTCAATGTCAAAACATTCAGTAAAGAAACATTTTCATTATGCTGAACGAAGGAGCAACGCTTATATATAAATAAAATTTACTACCGAAATTCCGAGTTGGTGACTGCAACTCTAAGAGCGTCAACGCTAATTTTTTGTCGTAATTCTCGTCCCAGCAGACAAGGTTTTCATGGTCTAGTAAACAAATTTGAGTCACCAATGACGTCGTACCCAAATAGACCTGGAATGTTGTCCAAAAGTTTTTCCCCTACAACAATCACTCTTTTTTGCGTTGTCGCCAAATAAGTTGGCCCCACGGTCGTTTTCACATTGGCCCCATGGTATCCACAACTAGCCAAATGACCTATTTCTGTTGCAGAAAGATTATTCTAGAAGAAATTCATGTATATTCTTATATACCTATAATATTTTATAAGTGAAGAATACGCGAGTTTTAATACAAATGGAGGTATAGTACAAACCAGAGTATTCTCTTCATATTTGTGATTAACATTTATATTAGGCTGCCCTAGGTTGTAGTAACCTGTCATTTTTATTTTGTTTAAAATTCGCTTTAATCCGTGTGCTATACGTTTGATTTTCTTGAATTTGTAAGTGTTCTTTAGACTTTTATTAAATTATGGTGAGATAAAAGTGTTTTTTGTGTAAGGTTGAGGCTGGCAAAGCAGGACGTGCAGGGATATCGCTTCACAGGTAAGGTTATGTTTACGATTCTACTCATTGGCGTGGCGTGCGTCATTTTCTCGATCCACTTCGTATTTTATATTTTTTTACGTGTGTAAAGAAGGTAAAATATACTTTAGATTTTTTTGTCAAAACGACAGGCATACATAATTACACAAGAAGAAACCTAATAACACTTTTAGTTAATGGAACGTAAAGAGTGATACCCTCCAAGGTATTTGATTATTTTTGAGATCATCTTTTTGAGGACGATCCATTAGATGGCCATGCAATAACTTTGGTGAAAATAATATACAAAAAATATTTTCAGGTTAGGCTTCATTACGAATCATCCAAAAAAAGTGAAACCAAGGATAGAGTAAGGAGGAGCATTTAAACTAAAACTGTTTTATTCAAACACCAATAGTTACAATCATCACAGATTAACTTTAAAATCGACAAAGATCTTTTTGCCATAAATCCCATAAATAATTTTACAGTAATTGTCCATAGACTGTGTTTCTGTTTTCTGATCTTTGCAGGACCGCCATAGATTGATTCCTTTTTTCTAATGAATTACCATTGGAGCATTGACTAATTCATCTCTCTTATATCTTGTTAAAGAAATATGAATAATTAAGAACTTTTTACAATGTTTCATAGATGTTCATAATGTGCATGTAGGGAACATGCTATTGCTTCCTGTTTTTTGCCGACGACTTTTTGTAAGTTGAAATTGTACTTCTACCCACAAGTTCTTTTCTGTGGTTTTGTATATTTATAGTTAATTACCCAATGCATGGACTCTGTGTAACTTGTGTAACTAATATCATAAATGCGAAAGTATGGATGGATGGATGTATGTTTGTTCCTCAATCACGCCAGAATAGATGAACGGATCTGGATGAAACCTTACACACAGATAGATTATAGCCTGTAATAGCACATAGGCTACAGTTGATGCCGGGAAAGAACCTCGAAATACCTATTTCAAGAGTTACAGCCAAAACTGCGCAAATCTCAGTTAGCCATGATGCGGCGAAATGTCAACCTGACACCCTTAGCTGTTCGTTCGATTTCCGCCACGGCCAACTGAGATTATTTTATGGTAAAATCCTTATATGAGGCAGATGGAACGTATCCTACTAATCATAATAGTGTAAATGTGAACAAACGGATGTGTCTTTGCTAGTCGGTTACGCCAAAATGGCTGAACGGATATGAATGAAATTGGGTTCAGAGATAGATTATAGTCTGGAATAGCACATAAGTTACTTTTGACCTTGCGGAGCAGGGGTAGGGTAAGGGATTTTGCTTTATTTATATCATTGGTAGTGCCAGGACAATTTCCGGGTTTCCGGGAACCACACTGAAGACCGGAGAGAGGGGGGGTACAGGACTTCGGTTTATGAGCATGTATGTCAATTCGTAGGAACAGTTCTCCGGATTAAATGTTGACGAGCGCGGGGAGAGGGCCAGGGAAGCTTGAGAAAGTGGGTATATTTTTTGTTGACTCATTTCCTCTTAAGAATGTCAAGATAATTTTATTTTGTATTGATTGATCTCTATATAAAATATGTAAACCATCAAATAAACATTTTCTTAAGTAGGTATTTACTGTGTTTTATTACTTCTATATTGGGGTCTAGTACCTACCACAAAAGGTACACATTACGCTATTTTTGTTTACAATCATAAAGTGAAAGCACAATGTGTAAAACACACTTCATTCTTTGCATTATGGCCGATGATTAGAAGTTTGAAGAGCGGGGGGAGGGGTTGCTAACAATGTCGTTCGAAAATACGTATTCCATATGGTTTGGAGAAGTAGGTTATTTTTCGTCTCCATGCTTTTTGTTGGAGACACCACGACCGAAAAGAGGGACATTTTTATGTCCCCAGGCTTTTGTCAGGAAAAGTAGGACAGAGTCCAAAAGTGGGAC